CTTGTGCTCCTGCTATGGTTACTGTGTCAGTTGCGTCAGTTGTTACAAGGGGACACAATGCCTGGCGCACTTGTGATTTCGCAAGGCAGGCAGCACAGGCAGCATAGCCATCCCCTGCCAACCAACCCATCTCCTGCATTCGCTTCCCCTTGATCCCCGTCTGCCAACTCCCCTCCGTCTCTCCTCCTCTTTCGCACGGAACTCATCCCTTTCCCACTCGCACTCACACCCGCCTCACACTGCTCCCCTGGTTGACTTGGGCAGCCCACCAGCAATGCGCGGGGCCCGCAGCAACGGTTTTGTCCGTGGGAACTTGCCACTGGATGGTCGTATCACCTCGCGTAAATGAGAGGGTGTTGTCCTGGAAATTGAGGAGCACCTCATTTGGTCGCAACCAATCTATCCCTAGGACGAGGTCCACCCCTGCGAGTAGTGGCAAAACACGGACGTCAATTTCTTCATGATAATATTTAACATCGAGGTTGATAAGCGCATGCCCGCTGCTTGGGATGACATGATCGTCGCCAAGTTGTATAGGACAAGAGGGTTGTTGTGTAACAATCCCTGCATGCTCAACCCATAACTTGTCGAGAAGAGGTACAGTCGCACCAGTATCAACCAGGATCTTTGCACGGCATCCATTAACTTGACCAGCAAACAACAAATTTTGTTGATGCTTAGGTCGAATGGGACAAGCCGCAATGTTGGTTGGAGGTAAATAATATACCTTAACCTTGTGATTGCTACGTCTCTACGAACAAGCTCTTGTCCACCATACGTGATGACCTTGTTCCCACTCAGGCAATCTCGAAGCATATGGAAATACTTGCCTTTAATAGTGCGTATCACCAATCCGACCGCAGTCAGAGGGTGCGCCTGAGTGCAACGACCCACGACACCCATGATAAAGGCAACGCATCCAAGTTACAACATATAACCGAGAACTGATCCCGCAATGCTTCAGTTATACTTTCTAGTGGGTGTAATCGGGAAGCAAACAGCGATTTTTCACTCAAAGAAAATTCAAACAAACAAGAGACTTTGCGATTCGCAAGCTTCTCAAGTTTTACCAAATCCACATCCCTTAAAACCACAACCTCTTGCTCCCGATCTACGAGGCCAGCTAGGCACCCACCCCCTAGCTGGCCTTCGGAAAATTCTGGCGTTGCTCCCCCGACCCTGAGCCAGGAGGCTTACCCTGGGGTTGGGCTTGCCTGAATTCCGCACGTTTCTCTTGTAGTGGCACTCGTAAGCCTTGTGGCCCGGTTTGCCACAAATGTCGCAATAGATGGGCATCTCGCCTGCAGGACCCTTAGGGCTACCAACATAGGGCTTTTAGCTCTTGTGGTCCACCTGCTGACCCTGAGGCTGGAAGGGCCTCTTGTTCTGAGTGCCCTTCCACCTAGAGGGCAGCTGGCTCCCACTAGGTCCTCCAGGAGTAGGGGGAGGGGGCCTGCACGGCTGCGGCTGTGCATTGCTGGCCGAGAGGTAAGCCCTCACAATCTGATCACTCTAGATGGCCGCGGCCTTCAGAGCCTCATAGGACTTCCACTGCTTGTCCCCTCCCTTTGCTGTTGGGTCCAGGAGGTTGAAGCTACGGATGTTAGGAGGCGGCCCCTTAAAGAAGTAATGGATCCTGTCATCCTCAGGGACCGGCCTCTTCAGCAGACGCAGCAATGCCTCAAAGGCAATAGGATACTCCTGTACGGTCCTACCCCCACACTCGAATCTCTCAATGCGGCTTCAGACCTCGAGCATGGTCTGCTCAGGCTGATATGCCTGATGTAGGGCAGCACAAAATCCGAACTAGCCAAACCCTCTTCCGCCATTCTCTACCACCGTCTGAGTAGTATGGACCACGTTGCGCGCCGCCTCGTCGAGGGCGAGGGTGGCCGCGGCCACGCATGCATAGTTGTGCACACGGTGGATAGTCATAACGTCATCCACATTGTGCAGCCATGCATCCACATCAGACCGAGTGTGGTGAAAAGGTGGAATGTTGACCTGCAGCAATCCAAAAGGAGGAGTAGCCAGGGGAGGCAAGCCATTCCCGGCCGACACAGGTGCTGGTGGAGGAGCAGGTGCAGGAGCAGGTGTCGGTGTAGGTGCTACAGCAGGTGCAGGTGCAGGTGCTGCAGCAGGTGCAGGAGCATGGCAAGATGCACGACCAGGTCCCGTGCTAGAGTTGGTAGGCACATCTCTTGCATGCAGAGCTCGGTACATAGTCTCCCGTCGAAAATCCTTAAACTGCTCCTGCACACCAATGAGCTTGTTGGACTGCTTAGCGAGCTATTGAGTATGGTCCTGGACCACAGACTTTGTGAAACAGTGTCCAGACAGGAGTTCCTTGATCTTGGAGTTTTGCAGGGATAGCTTGACATTAAGCTCATTGATAAGCTTCTTCATCTAAAGAATATCTTAAGGAACAACTTCCACATCTCCCTCCAGGTCCAACTCCTCATCATGGTTCTCCTCCTGTTCAAGGTTAACCCCATCACTAGGAGCTTGATCAGCCATGATTTTATCAGCATTAAGATCAATGGCAACAGCTCCATCCTCCACTCTAGCAGAAGCAGCCTTGTTGAACTCCTTCTCTCCCAAGTTGTTGCTGGAAGCCATCACTTCAGCAGTTGTTGCTCCACAACCATGGGCTCGGAGAGAGATTAACAAGGACTATTGCAAAATGCACTTGTAAGGAACCAAGAATCTCTTCACAAAGAGAATTCTTCAACAGAGCTTATAATAACTCAACAATTTCTTACAAAGAGCTCTAGATCTGTTGCAAGATCTTTACTACTGTAGTGAGTAAAGCAAAACCAGTCAGAAGTTCCACGAAGAACAGGACGAGTCCTTCACAACCAAAGATCATAAAATTCAGAGTTGACACTGAAAAAACTGCATACATTTTGGCGCTGGCACTGAAAAATCAGTCAATTATCTGGTATCGACCAAGAAATTTCCGCTCTCGGAAATTCTTGTTTCAGTCTGCATACGCGTTATGGTGCTGGCGCATCAATACCAACCCCTAGAAATAGTATGGAAAATCAAACCTGGCACAAAAAATTACACCAGGCCCCATGATTGGTTTTAGGGTACCTTGATTGCTCAGTGTCATGTTCTAAAAAAGAACTTTCCATCAGCCTCCTCAAGAAAATTTACGCTGATTTATCAGTGTTGCCTAACAAAAATTCGCTTTTCCATCAGCATATTGTACGGAAGAAACATTGATTTGGCAATATAATAAATTCGAATTCGACGCAAGGCCGACCCAAGGCCGAAGGAGCCTCGAGGTTAACAGAACGAACTGCGGGTCTTGTGTTTCTGACGGTCGTGCAAAAACAAAAGTGACAATGAAAATGAGTTGTGACTGTATGGCGATGGGAGTTGTAGATTGGCGGGCGAAAAATGTGACTGATCGTGCCATTCGTATGCCGCTAAAGTTGCTCGCTAAGCGTGAGTTTCCAGTCAAACAGCCGTCTGTCAACCTCGGGAAGACCCGAGGCAATTTTTTCCACCTTGGGTGTGTCAAACATATTGTGCATATGTCTTATAGGCTAGAAAGGTGCGTACTCTTAGACGGTACAACCCATTAGATAAAACCACCTTGTTTGCCTCATTCTAGTCATTGATTCAGCCTTTGATATGGTATCACGCTAGGTCAGGTCCCTCCCGCCCACCCGCGCTTCCGCCTTAGGCCTAGTCCTAGCCGCCCATTCCTAGCCGCCCGTACCTAGCTTCCCGTTGCTAGCTGCACGTTTTGAGCCGCCCGTAGCTCCGCGCCCGCTGGCCCTAAGTTCGCCAGGCTCGCGCCTCTAGCCCCGCATTTGCTAGCCCCGCACCTGCTGGCACCGAGCTTTCCAGCCCCGTTCCTACTGGCCCCGCGCTTACTAGCCCCGCGCCCGCCAGCCCAGTGCCTGTCGGCCTCGCGGTCGCCAGCCCCGCGCCCGCTGGCTCCGTGCCTGCTCGCCCCGAACCTGCTCGCCCGCCCTCGCTGGCCCCGCTTTCGCCAGCCCCGCACCTGCCTGCCCAGTGCCCGCCAGCCCCATGCCCGCCAGCCCCGTGCCCGCTGGCCCCGCGTTCACCAGCCTCGCACCCGCCAGCCCCGTTCCTGTCGGCCCCGCGCTCGCCAGCCCCGCGCTCTCTGGCCCCGTGTCTGCTGGCCCCGCACCCGCCAATCCCGTGCCCGTCAGCCCCGTGCCCGCCAGCCCCGTGCCCGCTGGCCCTGCGTTTGCCAGCTCCGTGCCCACCAGCCCCGTGCCCGTTGGCCCCGCGCTCGCCAGCCCGCGATTGCTGGCCCCGACTTCGTCAGCCTTTGTCCTCTAGTCCCTGTGCTCGCCAGCTCCGCACCCGCTGGCCCCGTGCCCGCTGGCCCCACGCCCGCTGGCCCGTGCCGCACTGTAGAGCCGCCGTGTCGCCACGCCGCAGTGCCGCTGTGCTGCAGTACTGGCGTGGCACCGTGCCGCCGTGGATCCGCGCCGCCGTGGCGCCGTGCCATCGTGCCGCAGTGCCGCCGTACTGCTGTGCTGCTGTATCCATGCCACCGTGTCGCCTTGGCGCCGTGGCACCGTGTCGCCATGTCGTCATGCCGTCGTGCCGCCGTGTAGCTGAACTTGTGGGATGGCAGATGCTGTGCTCCGCCTGGACGCAGAGGGGCAGGCGATCGGCTTCGATGCGTGGCTCGTCGACCTTCGCCGTAACCTTACAGGTCAGCGCCAGGACGGTCACTCCTTGGCTGTTCATATCAATGGCCTGCTTACCCCCCCCGGTCTGCTTGTTTGTGAGAGTACGACCCCGTTACACCAATCCCCCTTTCCATATTTCCTTTCTATTCATTCCTCTTCTTCTCTTATCTCATTTGGTTTCCTATTTCTCCTATTCCATTATCCTTTGGTTTATCCTGGTATTATAATTATATCACCGACCAGGCTCGGGATGTACTGGCGCGCTATATCTAGCGTAATCCTGCCGTAATCCCTTAAAGCCAATAGCCTCGCGTGGCTATACGCATGGTGATTCTATTTTCTAGAAGGGTCTATTCCCTTAGGATAAAGATAGACCTGGTTACCTGATGTACTTTGGAAGTATAAAAGCGCCTTGTATCAATAGATAGTGCAACCTTTCCTCGAGACATTCGATCCTGTGACACTTGGTAATCTAAGCTTTTCTCACTCGGCCACGCTCAGCCAAGAAGCAGCAGCAGGACTCCTTCCTCGAAAAACCGCCGGGGGCAACCGATTCGACGCCGATTCTGGTAAGCACCAGCTCCGGTTTTTTTCGAATTACCCCCTCCGTGCGTGTTTTGAACAGGATGGCGAACTTTGACAATGCCGAAGTTACCCAGCAGCTCTTCCCAAGCATCGCCACCCTACAGGAGGAGATGTGAGCCGACCGCGAAGCTTGGCGAAACGAGTTCGAGCGAGTAACTCGACTCGCCGGCGTGCAACACGAAACAACAACGGCGATGACGTAGCAGACGCGGCAATTTCTCGAGGCTCCGAAGCCGCGGCCACCTGAGCCGTTCGATCCGAGCGATCGAAATTCCGACGTCACGAGATGGATCGCCGGCATGGAGATCTACTTCGCAGCCGTCGGATGGAGCTCATCAGTCTGGGACGGTCAACACGTACGACTCGTTGCAACACTAATGCGAGGGCCGGCACTCTAGTGGATCGGCGGTAACAGCACGTTCATCCACGGCGAAGCCACATGGCAGCAGTTCCACACTGACCTGCTGAAATGTTTCGAGCCGATAAATTCGGGTTTCCTTGCCCGGGAAAAAATTCTTCGCCATCGACACTTCGGGAGTATAGCACAGTAAACGCAGCAGATGGAAGAATTTTATAACCGCATTCCCGACCTGACCGAAGGGGAAAAAGTACAGTCGTACCTCGCCGGGCTGAAGACCGAAGTCAAACGACAAGTGGCAGCGACAAACTACGCCAGCTACAGTGACGTCGTTTCGGCCGTGGAACGCTTCGACATGGTCAACGCCGGGACACGACGGGCGCACGTTGGCAGTACGCGACAGGGCGACCGCTCGGCTCACCCCACGTTTGCCGACCCGATGGAAGTTGACAGGTTGGAAGGGCGGCCACGTCCGACTTCACGTGTGATTTTTGCGGGGTGCCGGGTCATCGAATCTTCGACTGCAACAAAATGAAAGCCGCACGCGCTGAGTATTGGGCACGCAACAGTGGCGGAAATCCTTCGGCCAATCAGAAGACAAAAACGGAGCTCGCCAGTGATTGCGGATCTAGCTGGCGAAAAAGAAAAGATCCGAAAGCGGCCGCGGACTTCCGGAAAAATCAACTTCGACGCAGCTGATTTGATGCGAACGGGAGAAAATGATGGGGAAAACTCTCCACCCCATGACCAGTCTTTGCCAGAGGAAATCGCCGAGGAAAAATCTCACTCCGCGAAAAAGGGTTCTGCCAAGACGGGGAAACTCCTTGAAGACCCAAGAAATTATAAGGATTCGTTAAAGTTATCATATAAAAAAGCGTTAATGAAAATTTGTAATTCTCGAGGGGCTAGAGCCTTGGAGAAAATTCGGGAGGGACTCCAAAAGAAGTAGAAAATTGTGGAGATCATACCGGTACCGGAGAACTTGGGGACCAAATTAAGGAGTGTGGAAAGAAGCCGACCTTTCCACGGAGTCAACGTCCTCTCCTGACACCAGCCCACGGCGACTACCCGTTCCCCAGGGAAGATGTCGGTGGAGCTAAAGCAGCTCAAGAGGAAGCTGGGGGTCTACAAGAAGCTGCAAAAACCCCGAACTCCTTCTTCGGATGCATCCAACTCGGCAACTTTGTCAATGACACGAACAGTCGTCACGGAAACTCCGGGCCCTGGAGAAGAGCCTTTCTCCAAGCAGCCTCGGCCAGCTGCCAGCTCAGGAGTAGGAAGCAACGAATATTGGGATGTACCCTATGACCCAATCAATGAAACTATCTTTGGGTACTCGGAGCAACGCCTGCCCCTCGTGCTCGAGGTCATCTGCAAAGGACGGCGCCTCCAAGCACTTGTGGACAACGAAGCATCGCACACCGTATGCGACAAGGCAACCATCGACCGACTTCGAGAAGAGTACAAGCCATCAGCGTTTTCTGCAACGATGGTGGACGGCAGCAAGTTACCAGTGTACGACGAAGCAGTGCTACACCTACAAATCGGGCCACTGCGCTGGAAAACTGCTCTCCCCATCACCAACATAAAAGGGCTTGACTTGATCTTCAGGCGAGACTTCCTAAAACGATTCAACCCCGAGATCAACTGGGTAAACCGCACCGCAAGCATCTACAACAAAGGGAGGAGAGTCCAGCTACCCAACTGGGACGATACTAGAGATATCCCAGTGGAGACACTCGCCTGATTCGAGAAGGACGTGAAACGAACCAACACCGGGTTCCTGGCATTAGCAACAGACGTGGAAAGGGACGATGAGAAGACCTCGGAACCTCCCAGAGATATCAAGGAAATACTGAAGGAGTTCCAAGACATTCTTCCCGACGACCTCCCGGACGAGCTACCGCCATACCGAACGCACCAACACGAGATCGTGGAGGAACCAGGTTTGAAACCGACCTTCTGAGCACCATATCGGCTAAGCCCCACAGATATTGGGATGTACTATATTATCCTATCAATGAAACTATCATTGGGTACTCCGAGCAACGCCTGCCCCTCGTGCTCGAGGTCATCTGCAGAGGACGATGCCTCCAAGCACTCGTGGACAGCGGAGCATCGCACCCCGTAAGCGACAAGGCAACCATCGACCGACTTCGAGAAGAGTACAAGCCATCAGAGTTTTCTGCAACGATGGTGGACAGCAGCAAGTTACCAGTGTACGGCGAAGCAGTGTTACACCTACAAATCGGACCACTGCGCTGGAAACCTGCTCTCCCCATCACCAACATAAAAGGGCTTGACCTGATCTTCGGGCAAGACTTCCTCAAGAAATTCAACCCCGAGATCAACTGGGTAAACCGCACCGCAAGCATCTACAACAATGACATCGCGTACTGGAAAGGATCAACGAAGATCTGGGTACCCAATTACCCTCCATTGCACTAGTTACTACTCGAAGAATACCACGACATCCTGTACGCCAGACACTTCGGTAGCAACAAAACGCTCACCAGTATCGCCAAACACTACTACTGGCCCCACATGGCAGATGACGTACAGAAATTCGTCACCTCGTGCCCTACATGTCAGCGGATGAAGAGCAGCAAGCTGAAAAAGGTGGGGCTACTATAGCCTCTTCCTGTCCCAGAACAGCCATGGCAAGTGGTCAGTCTAGACTTCACCACCGGGCTACCAACTACCACAAGTGGTCATGACGTAATCCTTGTCGTCATTGACAAGTTCTCCAAAATAGGACACTTCATCCCGACACACACGACAGCACGCACCGAAGAGGCATCACAACTCTTCGTTGGCAACATCATTTCACAACATGGCATTCCAACCACACTCATCTCCGACCGAGACCCTAAGTTCACCAGTAAGTTCTGGAAAGAACTAATGTCTCTACTCGGAACCAAACTTGCCATGTCATCCGCATACCATCTGCAGACAGACGGACAGACCGAGAGCCTCAACCAAATTGTGGAGCAACTCCTCCGCGCGGCCTGCAAGGACAAAATCTCCAAGTGGGACTTGCATCTACCCATACTGGAGTTTGCCTAGAACAATGCTACTCACTGTTGTGTGATGTCATCATATGCTATTACATTCTGTCTGCCTCACATTCAGTGTGTGAAGGAATTTGTGTGGTGTGTGTTCTGGAGTTTGGGAATGTGTTTTGTGTTATTCTGTCTGAGCAGGTATTTGTGATGATAGATCTTGAGAGGATCTTTCCGACGCAACAAGAATCGTTTCAATCGGAGCAAGAACGCGAAAGCTATGAAGATTCAAAGTTCATGAGCTTGCGTTACAATTGCGGCGGTTACAAAGTGAAGTTGTGGGGTGACTCTATATGGAGTTGGGACCTTTGGGGTTGGGGAAATTTGTCACTCTACTGTAACAGCTGCAAATTGGTTGGGAACAACCAAGCTAGGTTGGCAAGGGTGGCCAACTTGGATGGATTGGTTGGGAAGGGACAAATGTCAAAGTTGGGGTTCCTATAGGGAGGGAATCTTTGTGCTTATGAGGTTTCCATGGTTGGGGAATCTCTTAGGACATTCCCTCTCATTCCTCTCTTCCATCCCAACCTTTCTCTTGCTCCTCTAATTCCTTGTGAGATTCTTGAACTTTGATTGAACTTTTGAGATTGAGTTAAATTCTCCTCCTACAGCTTATCCCGCAGTGCTTCGAAAAACATAGCGTCGCCAATACTCCATCAATCAATATGATTCAAATTGAGAACGGTAGCTAAGCGTACAAGCTACAACATATCTGATATTCGCGACATTCCAACGGCTAGTGTTTTGTCGACGTCGTTTCTTGTGAAGATGACTTTTCTGTCCAGAATTTCGGATTTATATTTTGAGTAATTCTAGCTCCTAAGTTCACCTAGACTCCGTCCTTAATCCTAACACTCACGCCGCTACTGGACAGACGCAGTTCTTCCTCTATAATGAATGCCACCCACTCACACCTCAACAGCCAAACATACCAGCCACAGTCCAACCCGCTCATGATTTTATCACGACCATGCACAAACTTTGGGATCGGACCCACAAGCGCCTTCTCGACATTCAGCAACAACAGAAGCGCCAGGCCGATCGCCACCGCACATACCACACCATCACCGTGGGAGACCGAGTACTGCTTGACACGCGCAATCTTGACATCAGCCATCTCCCATCCCAACTGCGACCTCGCTTCTGCGTGCCTTTCCTCGTTGAAGCACAGGTCACTTCTGTTACCTTCCACTTACGCCTGCTTGGATGGGGGCAGGGATGGTGGTTTGGATGAGGGGACCGGGGCTGGTGCTCCGGAGCAGCAGCAGTAGCAGCCACAGCCTCAGCAGCAGCAGCCGCAACAGGCTCAGCAGCAGCAGCAGCAACCGCAGCAACAGTCACCGTGGGGACCCCTGCCGCCGTGGTGGACTGACGGCGCTGGTGGTGGTGGTCGTGGTGGTGGGGGGCGCAGCACGGTGTCGGGTAGCTCTAGTGCGGTCACCTATCAGTACCAGCTTTAGACCGGCCCCCGCCGTGGCACCGCATGCGACTGTTATGGCCACACCGCCGCCTGCTGCTACCGCGGCCTGGACGACCTCTTCCGTTACCGCTTCATTCCCGCGTTAGACCCTCCTGACTGGTACGCCCAGTCTCGCCGCCGTGTCCGTGTCTTTGAGCTTGAAATGGATCAGATTAGGTCTGCTATGTTTGTCATGTATGCTGATGACTCTAATGTGATTGCCCAGTGTTGCCTAGAGTAGGTGTGTCCCTTGTGTGTAATCTAGGCTCCCCTGCTGCGTCAGGCATAGGACCCCCTGCCTGGTTTAGCCTAGTTTGCATGCTAGCCCCTTCACCGGTTGGCGCTATTGCCTCACTCTCCTTTATGCTCGACTCTGACGCGTCCGCCTGCTTATCGCAGCCACACTGCGCTCACGCCGCTTGCTGCCCCCACCGCTTTAGCGCTTGCTGATCCCTCCTCAGGTCCACTACCCTTCCTTGTCCGGCAGTCCCCTCGGGCTCGCTTACAGGCCTGCACATCCCCTCGTTCTCCAGGAACCTAGTTGGTGTCGGCTATCTTCAGGAACTCGGTGTCACCACTACGTTCCCCGGACACGAGCGGTAATGCAGTTTGTAACGAGGCCGCCACTAGTGCCCCTCTGACCACGTTCCCCCGGGACCCCGTGTTTGGCCTGCTTACGCTTGACATTGCATCCCCCCAGGTGAGGTCGTCCCCCCAGATGCCTGCGTCAACCCTAGTCGCTGCGGCTTGCTCATGTCGGTCGCTCACTCACCCGTCGCTTCTGTGGCACCACTGCCTAGGTCAACCCGCACTCCCGCGTCTATGTCACATGTCCCATCACGGTCTTGTGTTCCGTCTCCCTGCGTCGCTCCCTGCCCTTCCTCCCTCACCTGCGCCACCATGTACGCCTTGCGTCGAGGGCTGGATGCGCCGTGCTCCTCACTCCTCCTCGCCTCCCCCTACCATTGCGCCACTCCTAAACCTGCACCTAGACGTTTGGGGCCCAGCCCCCGTCCCTGGGCTGCATTGAGAGCACTACTTCCTAGTGCTTGTCGACGACTACACGCGCTACAACACGGTTGCACGAGTCCACTGTGGTCTCCGAGTGCTGAGTCTCCACTCCGACCGTGGCGACGAGTTTGCCTCTGATCGATTTGGCTAGTTCTGTCGTGCAGAGGGCATCACCTAGTCATACACCCTTCCGGACTCCCCGCAGCAGAATGGGGTCGCTGAGCGACTCATCAGTTTTGTCACAGAGGTGGCTCGTACCTACATGATCCATGCTCGTGCACCGCAGCACCTTAACCTCTGGCCGCACTCCTTGCGGCCGCAGGTTTCGCCGACCCTCCTCTAGATCGGATTCCCTGGTGACGCGTCTACGTTCCACATCTAGGGCTGCCTCGCTCACGTCCGTGCCTCTGGCACGAACAAGCTCACTGCCCGCACTGTCCCTGTGTCTTCCTTGGTTTCCCCCTTGATGCGTCTGACTAACACTTTTACCACGCGCCTTCTCACCGCTTCTTTCTCTCGCATGACGTCACTTTTGACAAGCCTATCTCCTTCTACCACCGCTTTCCCCACCGAGGTCTCCCAGTTTCCCCGCCCCTGTTTCTGGTTCCCACTCCCCCAGTAGCCCCTGCTCATCTCCCTCCCCGTCTTGCCCTGTTTGGTGTGTCTCACGTCACTCCCCTCCCGTCGGTGGTCCCGGTGGAGGGGTGCGCAGACTCCTGTAGCCCTCAGTGGCTCCTCCTCCACCATCCCAGCCGCAGCTGTTGCCGCGGTCGCCGCTGCAGTAGCATCCGCTGTCGCAGCCACAGCAGCAGCAGAAGCCGCTGCCGCAGCCGCAGCCGCTGCAGGAGTCCGTGCGTTCAGGGGGTGTTGGCGTTGAGGAGGGTGCTAGTCCTAGGGTTTCTGTCGTGGCTTGACCCGGCGGTCTCAGGGGTGGCACCGTTGCTGGAGAGGGTTCTCGTTCTTGGGGTGCTGGTTCTGGGGGTGCTAGTCTCAGGGTTCCTGTCGTGGCTCGTCCCGGTGGTCCTGGGGGTGGCACCGGTGCTGGAGAAGGTTCTTGTTCTCGGGGTGCTGGAGTGGAGCTTTTCGGAGATAGCCGAGGTGCAGCTGAAGGTTCTAGTGTTGGTGGGGCGCAGCAGCAGCAGTCGCAGCCGATGTCCGCCCTTTGCCTCCTTGGTCTTCCATCCCCTGAGCGCCTACCTGCGCCTCCCCCGCCGCCGCCTCTCGTGCGTTTCTTCCGCCGGACTCGTCTCTGACTCGTTTTCCCCCTCGTTCCCCTTCTCTGTCTCCTCCTCTGTCCCCTCACCTGATGCCACCATCTCACGTCTGGTCTCGCCGTCCCTCCCGTGCTCGTCGTGTCTCTCCTGTTCAGTGATCTCTTACTATGTTGCTTCGTTCCCATGCGTCTCGTCCTCCCCTCCTCGCGTCGCCTCCTCTGTTGTTGCTTGTTGTCGTTGCGCCTCCTCTGTCTGACTTACTTTGTGCCGGTAGTCCTATTGTTCCTCGGGTCCTTGCCTCCCTTGTTATGGACCCGTCTGTTCCTGTCTCGAGTCTTGACGCGCTTGTCCTTGCCGTTGCTAACTTCGCCTCCATCCGCCGCCTTGACTACGCCACCACTCTGGTCTCTGACCCTGCCCGTCCTCCATCCGTTGGGGGTTCTCCTGCCCTTGGCAGTGACGTCCTGGAGGACCGGCACTATGAGCTCGCTTTCCTGTTCGAGGCCGCACCTCATCTCTGCTCCACGCTGCAAGTCCCTGAGGGGGACCCAGACGCCTTTGACATCCCGCTAACACACCTAGACGTTATCTAGCATGTACATCGGGCATGAGGCTAGTGCTAGGAGGACGCAGGTTAGTGGTCCTTACTGAGCACACAGACGCTTCTTGGGCAGACGACGCTGAGACACTTAGGTCCTCCCAGGGCTACTGCTTTAGCCTTGGTTCAGGTGCCATCTCATGGAGGTCCACCCGCTCGTTGTCTGTTTCCCAGTCCAGCTGTGGGGCTGAGATCTACGCCGGTGCCATGGCGGTACAGGAGCTCCGCTGGCTTGAGCATGCTGGAGATAGCGGCAAGTGCGGACGCGGAGGACAGGGAGCGACCGACGTCCAAGTCCTATCTTTCAAGCGGCACGCGACAACTCAGAAGCACAAACTAGCGATTTAACGCCAAGCCGACCTCCTTCAGGAAGCCTCTCGCCAGCCGCGCATCGACACCAACTTCGTCACCCGCGACGTTGAGCAGGAACGCGTTGTCGCTCTTCTCGATGCCCTTCTCTTCAACTGCCAAAGCAGCGAACCCATGGAGGCATGGGTGCGGCTCGTCAAGTACCTGGCCAAGCGTGGAGTACCAGGATTCCCCATGAAGGGTTACGGCACGTACTACAACTCGTACGTGCTCCACTTCCCCTCACTGTGCTTGCACATGCTTCTATTAACCGCATGTTCATGCCTTGCGTGTTGCAGGTACGGCTTTGGGGAGTTCACACAGGCAACAACCACCTGGCTGCAAACCACCCAGATTGACTACATCCGCGCGAGTCCATTCCTGGGCATCAGCTGTGATGAA